CTGTAACCTTCATAGGGTGGGTGGGGAGGGGGAAAATGGAGGGAGGAGGGGGTGGGGGCATTAAGTTCACAGATGGGAATGGAGTGCTCAAGGACATTCCAGAACATTTCTGCCAGTGGGGGCCACTCCACAGGCTCATTTCCACATTGGGATCCTGGGCAAATTGCTTCCTTACAGGCAAGAAGAAGGACCAAAACCCCTATAAACAAACAAACAAACAAAAAACCACAAACAAACAACCAAGTGGCTAGGGAGAAAAAGTGATGTGGAATAAGTGCGCCAGGGGAGAAGAGAGAAGGGAGAGTGTGTGCAGCAAGAAATTCCGCTGAAACACACACATTACTTGTCATACGCAGGCAATTCTCCTGCCCCTGGTTCATGTCCTGCTTCTGGGAAACTGGGATCCCCTATCCCATAACCCCAGGCATCAGGACAGGAGCGTTTCCTCAGGATTAGACCCACAGATGACTTTATGCCCGTACTCTACTCACACTACTTTCCCACGCACACGGTCCACTACCTCTACTGCTCTCCTCCTTAGAACTGCCCAGTGCACTCAGCTAGCAGATCATGGAACCTGCAGCCCCAGGGAAGCTCACTTCACCAGCCACTTGTCATCACTAATGCTGCTCCCTCCCCAGATCACCCATTTTTTTTGGGTCCCAAGAACACCAATGCCTCTAATACTTTCTCATCTGTGAAGTGACCCTGATCACTTGCTCCACCAAAGGGCCTCTAATCCACTTGCCTCAGGACAGACAGCAAAATCCTCTGCACCTGGCCCACAGAACCTAGAGTAGGAGGGACAGGAAGCACATTTTTTCCAAAGGTATGACCCTGGGAATGATAGTGAAGAAGGGCAATCTCTCTGTATCCTTTGATCCCAAACCCACATTTTCTACCTACTTCAGAGGCAGCAGCATATAAAGGTCATAAATTAACCAGGAGTCTGCAAACTTCTTCTATAAAGGGCAAACTGAATATTTTTTTCTTCACAGACCTCTTATAATCTGAAAGCACTTGGCACCTCCATGTTTGTGGTACAAAAGCAGCCAAAGGCCACATTCAAACAAATGAGGGACCAGATGTGTTCGCTCTCCTAGTTTGCTGTCCCCAGACTTAGGGCATATAGGTTGTCCCACATATGGGTGTCCCTCCCCTAGGGAATCATCTCCCAGGTGCCTCTACCGTTTGCTGAAGAGCCAGAACCAGGCCCTGTCCTGCCTGTGGCTTCTGGACTGGGCACCAGGAGTGAATGTGAAAGGCGGGGCAGCCAGTGCTCCCCACTTTCTGTAGATGGGATTCCTTGGTGAAAGGGGAACATGAGAGGCACTGCATGAAACCATAGGTATGAGCTGAGGTCCTGCTGTTGCAACATTTCTAGTGTCAGGATGAATGTATCTGCTACTGCATCTCATTTGTTCCCTGTGACCCTGCTCACTTAAGTGCCAGAAAAGTCACTTTTACCTTATAAGCACTCAGCCTACCTAACCTAATGACCCTCATGCTGGGCAATGCTGATACCCCTTAGCCAGAGGCCTCATCTCCATCAGGTGCGGATTTCCCTGCTGCAAGTGGCATGGCCTCTCTTCTGACTCTGTGGGTCTGTGATATGACTTCTCCTATTAGGATGCCTTGAAGTACAGACCAACTTTTCCCAGCACTGAAACCTCTAGTGTCCCAGACGCTGTGGTTCAGAGGGCCCTAGTGGCAGGTCCAGCTACTCTCATTCATTCATTCATTCATTCATTCATTCA